GCTATCACACAACATGAAGTCCGCAAACGAATCGTGTCCCTGGCCGCCGTTGTCTGGTGATTTATTCGAACAGGTTTTGGCGGTGCTGCGCATACTGGGCAGAGGAAACTATTTCGACGATGTCTCGGAGGTCACCGGCATGGGCGAGGCCACGGTGAACCACATGTTCCACAAGTTCACGGAGAGATTCGCGCGTGAGTTTTTTCCGGTATGGGTGAGGATGCCGAATGAAGACGAGCTGAAGGACATCATGAAAACCTATGACGAGGTTGGAATGTCGGGCGCCATGGGGTCGATGGATGGGACGCACATTGAGTGGACGTTGTGTCCTTATTCCCAACGCTCGTCGCACATTGGCAAGGAAGGCTACGCTACCCTCGTGTTCAATGTTGCCGTCAGCCACTGTTAGCGTGTTTTGTCGTGTACGCGGGGCTTCCCCGGCGCCCAGAACGACAAGACCATCATAAAATTCGACAAGTTCGCGATGGCGGATCGAAACGGCTGGTACAAGGACGTAAAGTACACTCTGAAGGGCGAGGACGGAGCGGACATCAAAGAGAAACGGCCATGGTTGATAGTGGACGGCGGATATCACAACGTGAGCGGGCTCGTGTTCCACCGAATTTGTAGTGCAGAATGTCTTTCTTTGCACTCGGCGCGCGCGCAAGGTTTGGTGTTCCGTTAGCTAGCATTAAGTAGCGTTTAGGAACAGGGGACGAAACAACAGAGAGTCGCTACTGCTGTGCCTTGAAAACTACAGATCTTGGCCCATGTCGCTTCCCCAACGTGCTGTGGTACCGGACAGGGGTTGCATTTGTTCAATTTCGGATGTGTTTTCATGTATATCACTGCACGCGTTCGCTACGGCAGTTTTGCGTTATATACCGTAGTTTGGTCGCTGCTCCCTCTGGCAGGTGCTTTTTTTTTGGGTGGATTGACAGACAGACGCTGTATATGCAAAGGTGCCTCCAAAAAAAAAGAGACGCCCAGAGGGGTCTGCGCGGTCCTCGCAAGACGTCAGTGTTAAAACGGTTCGGCAGTGTGAATTGACAACCGACAATTTGGATGCCAGCCAATGCTTCCACCGAAGCGTGTCTTCGTACGTGCTTGTCTGCCTGCTTGTAAGCGAGTTCGTGTACCTGTTGGCTTTCCCCCCGTGACGATGGTGGGGGAGACTGAACCCCCCCTTGTGTAAATTTCGGAATCTCACGGTCGTCGTCAGGGCGGAATGTGATGGTGGTTGATGTGCTGTTCTGCGGTAATAAACAGCGGTCCCCATGTGCGTCTTCAAGGCTTGACTCAATTGTCGTACCCTTAACATGATCCCCACGGCCCGCCCACCCGCCATGGCTCCCTCCTTGCTCAGTGGAAGCAGCTCCAGAGTCCGATCAGGGCGCCATCAAGCAAGGCCGAGTCAGGGTTCAGTAGACAGCTCGAGAGCGTCCGCAAGGACTCGGAGTGCTGCTTCGGCGTCGTTAAGGGGCGGTTCAGGATCTGCAAGATGCAGTTCCTCTACAGGAAGAAAGAGAGGATCGACAACATCTTCTTCACGTGCATCATACTGCACAACATGCTTCTCGCCTACGACGGGATCGAGCTCTTGGAGCCGGACTGCGACTGGGCCGGAGCGGACGGCGACCTCGACAAAAACATCGAGCACCCTGTAGTGCGGATGAGTGCGCCCACGCACGAGGATGCAGTCGTGGAGTGTGATGACGGCTTCGACGCATTGAGGCAGAAGTTGGTGACCAACTTCGCTTACCGATGGGGACAGGGGACCGTTGGGTGGAAGAGGTCGTGGTGACCCGTGGGAAGTCACATGGTGCTATGTTGATGGCGGGGAGGTAGGGGGGCGGGGGGGCGTGTGGCAGGCATTGTCCGCCCCTTCGGCTGTAATTAGTGGCACTTTTTTTTTTCCCCGTTAAAGACCACGTCCTTCTCCGCCCCTCCGT